ATTAATAGGTAAAGCTGTACCTCTTGTAAATTTTACTTTGTAAATACTTTCTGTGGATAGAGAAACAATTGTTTCAGATTTGTGTTGGCAGAGGTTAATTGGGAAACAGAGTGAGGAAAGAGAATGCAGCAGAACAATGATGGGCTTTGGAGCCAACTCGACCTTCAGTCCTAGTACCACGACTTGCAAATCATGTGACCTTGGACAAGTCACCTAGCCTTTCTAAATCTCCTATTTATAGTCTTAAAAAGAAGTTAGTAATATCTTCCTTTTGTGCTTGGCATAATAAGTGATGTTAAAGCCCGTCATCCAGGGCCTGGTGCGTGACTGCAGGCGGTGGTATTGCTGGCCTTGGTACTGCTATCTCATGGCCAGGTCTCCTCCATCAGCAGGCGTTGGCTATGCACTTGCTGTGATCCACATTGGACTGCAGGTCATGATCTGGATTTATATTGAAGGAGCAGTACGGGAGACCTAAGAGAGTGGGTGGAGGAATTAATTTTCAAAGTAGCAACCACAAAGAAATGCAGTGAGCTCTTGATGTCAACTAAGGCAGGAAGCCTATTGCTGAGTCAGCTAAACTGTGGGTTTTAGGTGCTCATTTGTGGCCAACTAAAAAAACCTCATGATGAAAGGTGTTATTTATCTAAGTTTTACCTTTCTCATATATAAAATGAGGATGTCCATGAGGCCTACCTTCCGTTGCAAGAATAGTGCCTGTAGAGCCCTTGGCATATCATATGCACCCAAAAAGTTAATTATTAGTTAATTGTTAATGATGTCACTTCCCTTCCTCTTCACCCAAACAAGAGCAGGGCTTGCAAGTCTCAGTTTTGTCTGACTATCTTAGCTCTACTCATCACATAAAAACTTTAGGGCATAAAGTATACACCTAATCACACTAGATCCAAAAGTGATACTGTGATAATGTGATTAATAATGAGTTCCTGGATGGCAATAGTGTTTTAAGGTACAGCCGAAGACTTGTAAATTTCACTGGCTTCGGTGCTCATGAAAGTGAGACTGACCGCTCATTGCCCAGGGCAGCAAACTACACAGTCTGCCAGTGTTGGTCTTCTGAGTTTCCTAAATAGCTTTGTATTGAAAGTCAGAACTTCACATTTGCCATCTCTCTGCTAATAACACAGGCTGGTGTGGGATGACTTATATGTTCTTGCTTCTAACTGCTGAAATGCAAATAGGCTGGACTAGGAATTGGGGGGGCAGAAATCACAGAAAAACTCAAGTTCCTGGAAATAGTCGGCAACTGCAATATTTATCGTCATCACCACCACTTCCCTCCATACTGGCGTTAACTTTTATCCTGTCCAAAGCACTTTCCCCTCAACTGGCTCATTTGTTCTGCTCTGAAGCCTAGGGAGAATGCAGAGGCGATTTAATTTCCCTTTTTTTTTTTTTTAGATGGAGATTCACTCTTGTCACCCAGGCTGGAGTGCAGTGGTATGGTCTCAGCTCACTGCAATCTCCACCTTCCGGGTTCAAGTGATTCTCCTGTCTCAACCTCCCGAGTAGCTGGGACTACAAATGCGTGCCACCACACTTCGTTAATTTTTGTATTTTTAGTAGAGACAGGATTTCAGCATGTTGGCCAGGCTGGTCTCTCAAACTCCTGACCTCAGGTGATCCACCCACTTTGGCCTCCTAAAGTACTGGGTTTACAGGTGTGAGCCACTGTGCCCAGCCCTCTATTTTTTAGTTAAGAAAATTGAGGCTCAGAAAGGTGAACTGACTTGCTCCTGATTGCCCCGGGCTGCACTTGAACCCAAATCTTCTGTCCCCTGACTCCCGGACTCTTCCTACAGGACTGTGCATTGCTCCTGGCCCAAGCCTTTACTTTATGCAGAAGGAAAGAGCATTACCATATCTTCAAATAGGGTTGTGCCCTTTAGAAGTGGCGAGCTGTGCAAATATACACCATTTTGCTGTTGTTTTAAACTGTTCAGAAGTCTGAAATTCACTGTATTTATGAAAGTTGAAGAGATAAGAGGTTGGTGTGTAATAACTTGTGGCCATGTACCCTTGAGTGTGTTTCCTTGAGGCTTGATGAGGGTTTGTTCACTGGGGGCCTGCTCTATAGGATTCTAAGTGGATTCGCTGCTCATCCACATGGCAGGCACCAGGGCTCTTCCTGAGAACAAAAGGTCTCCCCTGTAAGCCTGCTCCCACCCTTCCCTCCATCCTCTCCTGGACTTCCAGGGCCTGAAACCCCACCATTCTGGGCCTTGAGGATGAATTGACCTTAGAAGGGATTCCAATAGCAAAGGAATGCATGTTCTCACTCATAAGTGGAAGTTGAACAATGAGAACACATGGACGCAAGGAGGGGAACAACATACACCACGGTCAGTTGGGTTGTTAGGGGGTGTCAAAGGGAGGGAGAGCATTAGGACAAATAGCTAATGCATGTGGGGCTTAAAACCTAGATGATGTGTTGATGTGCCACTGTGTGAAAGCCATCCAGTCCTCATGCAAACCACCGTGGCACATGTATACTTATGTAACAAACGTTCACATTCTGCACTTGTATCCCAGAACTTAAAGTAAAATTAAAAAAAAAAAAAAGAGAGATTCCAAATAAAATAGAAAGACTTTCACTGTATGTAACAACTTAGATTTTGTTTTTTAAAAGCCTTAGGGTATTGGTTTTGGGGGTCAAAAACCTTAGTTCCTTGGGCTCCACCATATCCTCACCTGTAAGACATGAGTAGTAAGAGGAACTTTAAAGTTCAAATGAGGCGTAATGTACAAAAGGGCTATAAAAATGTAAGCTTGACAGATGGGATAAAGGGAGGGGTTGGGTTGCTGGTCTGAGGAGGAGGAGAGTAGGGGCTAGACCTAAATCTCAGAGCACTAGGTCTGACCCAAGGAAGCTCTACAATGGGGGCTTGAAGGCAATTTTGGCTAACTTTATGGTCTTACCCAGGACTGGACCACTTGCAGCCTTCAGAGTCATTCGGGTTGCTTTGACCTCCAGCCATCTGTGCCTGGAAATGTAAAACAAATGGTTAATGGCATCAGATGGTTAATGATCTCACATGTCTCCTGCTTACTGCCATAAGAGAGAAGAGACCCCTGGAGAAATAACCATGGATGTTATTTTCAAAGTTGCAATTAATCGTGTATTCAGGAAAACCCATCTTCTGCCAGTTATTCTGATAAGAAAGAGGAAATTGAGGGTGACGGAGGAGCTGTGCCTGAGAGGGCAGTTTGAATAATCTGTATAAGGTCAAGAAGGCAGATATAGGCTCATAATCAACACAGCTGTTTTGGAACAAAGCCGGGGGTGTCGTATCCTGGCATGAGTTAGGGACTGACTTTTGTCAGTCAAAATATGTGCCTAAGGCTAGGTCTGACTATCTGACCTTAAACTTCTAAGTTGTATGAGGGCCAGGGCCATCCTTTGGTTTCTTTTTCAAAAAAGCTTTTTCATTATTATTGCCCGAACCAAAGATACTTCCGCTTGTTTCTCCTTGGGGCACTTACCTGTGGTTATGTCCTCGCATTTCACTGTTTTAAAACTTCTTCCCTTATTTTCCATCTCTTTCCTCCAGCTAGTGAGACCTGCAATGACTTCCACCCAATGTTCTTCACCCACGACAGATCTTTTGAGGAGTTTTTCTGCATCTGTATCCAGCTCCTGAACAAGACATGGAAGGAAATGAGGGCAACTTCTGAAGACTTCAACAAGGTAACGTTGATCTCGGGTATAGGCAGGGGATTCCCATGACATCAAAGGGGCCTGTTGCATGGTCCCTCTGCTGTGTGCAGAAGGCAGTTAGCAAGGTGGGGAAATGAGGAAGACTGCAATTACATTTGCTTCAAAAATGAAGAAAGAAAAACATGCCTATGTAGACATGAATCTGTGTGCTGGGGATGACCTCATCTCTCGGGGGGTAAGCTTGGAGCAGCTTTGCTCCTTTTGTGTAAGTCGGAGCCACCAGCAGAGACTCTTTCTGGAGAAACACTATCAAGGTGAATGTTTCCTTTCATAGCATTAGTTTGAGATGCCTTGTCAATATTGCAGGATCTACCAGGGAAGGGGCCTTCTCTCCACCTATCCAGGAGACTTGTACAGAGCAAATGAGATCAGGGAGATTGCTCTGCCTAGGTGGTTTATTTGTGGATTATGGATGTGCTGTGATAATCTACCCTGTGCTGTGTCAAAAAGAATTTTTACGAAAATGGAAGATCTCTTTCAAAGAACTGAGTAATTAAAGTTATATGCAGCATTTCTTGGTTTACAGTAAGGATTTGATTCTTTGAACTGAGATGTCCTTTGCTTTCTGTATCATAATGTCTCACAAGAGTGGGACTTTCACATTTTCATTTGTGTGTGAGTAAGGAGTAGAGGGAAGGGCACTGGCCAAATTAAAGAGAGCAGAAGCACTATCCATGCTTTCCTAGAGAAGCAAAATCTTTGTCCTGAGATAAAAGCCTGATTAGCATTAATAACTAATAGCATATTGCAGTGTTTAGGTACTTTTAATTTGCAGCTATGTACGGCTCTGAAGGTGGTTGGGCGCATCACCCATGCATACTCACTAAGCACTAAGGGCTATGACTATAAGAGCCAAAGGGTCCGGCCCTCAGTCATGCTGTGGGGCTTCCATTGGCATGTGCTTAGTGCGTAACAATATCTGAATTTCACCTGTACTTAGTATGCTTGTTGGTCATTGCCTCCCTGTCACCTTGAATATACATCTCATCCTTGTTTCCCACTGTACTTCTGGTTTGTGGCATCTTGAACCAACACCAATTGAAAAGGAAGAAAATCAGAAAAAGGACCCAAGCTTTAGTCAGGTCCTAACCTAAGGGGCTAAGGCCACTTTGCCCTGGATCATTTCAGCTCTTTCATGTGCTGCTTTGTGAAAGTCATTTAGTCCTCAGCTTTGTGAGCTGCGGACACCTGTTCCTCCAGGAGAAGGAGACCTCATCAGCTATTATGGATTTGGGCATCAGATGTCTGCTTTCTGAGAGATTTCATTTATCCTGCTTTTCCTGAATTATAAATTCCACATTTTTACAGAATAAAATCTGCAATTGAGAATGTTGCAGATAGTATTATTGTTGATCTAGGCACAGATAAGCTGTGTAGAAAATATTATGAAAGTTCTGCAGAGGGCTGACTCTGGGGATGAACATTCAGATACTTAAATCCTATAGAAGTTATGGTTTGTAACATGAAGCACCAGGAGTTCCTTGTTAGCAAAGGAAGCCAGAGGCCTCAGGATGGAGGAGGTGGGCACAGCTGGTGGGGGGCGGTGACCATAGTTCTAGGGTCCCTGTGGCTTATCATGGCCATGTGCTCAGATTGGTGGCAGACATCCTGCCTGTTCAGGGTGAGGGCCTGCCAGGTGACAGAAAGCTCCCCAGAGTATCACCCTGAAACTTTTATCATAATTAGCCTAGATGACTGCAAAAGCTCTTCAGCAAGACCTAAGAACCAGGTTTTAGGTGCAGTTTCTTACTGTAGCCCTAGTGCCGTCTTTCTGTGTTGTTTACAGGTCATAGTCTAATGCTGGGTCACACCTCTACTGCCAAGTAGAGATGGCAGCTTATGGCTGAGGACAGGCAGCTCCGGGCCCGGGAGGCAGAGGGTCCTGCCTCAACATACAGATAGCCATCAGGCAAGAGCAGATATCAGAGGAAAATCAGGGATGAAAAGTACTAGGAATTTTAATTTTCTACATTAAATACTTTTGTTGTGTTTGCTTTTTTGTTTTTCGGTACTATGCATGCCTCACGTAACCAAAAAATTTATCAGGTATTTACATTTTTATCATGGGTGTATCGATTTTCTGTTGCTGATCTAACAAATTACAACAAATTTAGTAGCTTAGACAATGCAAATTTATCTTACAGTTTCATAGTTGCCAACAATGGATTTCACTGGGCTAAAACCAAGGCGGCAGCTGAGCTGTGTTTCTTACCAGAGGCTCTAGAAGAGAATTCGCTTCCTGGCCTTTTTTCACTCTCTGGTGGCCACCTGCATTCCTTGGCTTATGTCCTTGTTGTCCATCTTCAAAGCCAGCAGGGACAGCTTGAGTCCTTCTCACATGTCACCCCATCACCCTGATCCCCCTTCTGCCTTGGTTTTCCACTTTAAGGACCTTGTGATTACATTGGGCCACCTGGATAATCCGGCATCATCTTCCTGTCTTAAAGTTGGCTTATAATAACCTGAATTCTACCTGCAACCTCAATTCCCCTGTGCTGTAGAAGGCAACGTATTTGCAGGTTCTGAGAATTGGAGACGTAGGCACCGTGGGGAAGCCGTTATTCTGCCTATTCCAGTGTGTATTTGATTTACAGTTATATTACATTTTTAGATGTGTAGATCAGTTTAAATTAGTGAAACATGGACAGATGAGCCTTTCGTTTGTTTTTCTTTTTGCTGGTAGACATAATACCTGTTACAGGGTTTTGCTGGTGGCAGCTCAGATACAGATATAATTATGTCCCTTTTCTTTTATGCTCCTGTTCTGCCTCCACTAGCCTTTTTATAAAAGAAGGCCCCTGTGTGAGCCTCTAGTTCATTTTGAAAACTCCCTTTCTAATTTTTTCCTGCTGCCCGTCTATCAGCCACTGTTCTGCTTTACCTAATAATAAATTGGAGAAGAGAGAAAAGCTGAAAGTTAAATCAGTTCACTTTTCTTCTTGTTATTAACTTGGTAGCAGAGGAGATTGAATTTAGGAACAAATGTGGGTTGTGAAGTTACTGGTAGATTTAATGTTTTTCTCTTATTCCCTGACTGTCCAAATTCAAATTCAGAAATATCTTTAAAAAGCTCAATATGAAACATAATTTCTTTTCAACTTTCATGGACACCATCTCAGGCTTTTGCCACTGTAAACAGAGCATGGAAGGTGGATTTACTTGTCAACCCTGAGACCCAGGGCTCTGTAAGCAGGGCTTAGCTGTCTGCTGTCTTTAGCTCCTCACTGGAGGAACAGTGTCCCTCAATTTGAAATATCGATTTGCCCAACAAACTACTCTGGATTCTATTAGAGGCAGGAATAGCTTCTGCAGCCCGCCTTGCTCGGGACACCAGTTTATAGATATCTGGTGCTTGGTAGTTAATGCCACTGCTGGAAGAGTGTGTTTGGAAAAGCAGCTGTCGTCTGCTCTTCCGGGCTTGGGAAGCAGCAGATGGAATGTTTTTTATTTATATAGGAGAAGTAGAATTGGAGAGTGATTAAAATATTTATGCTTTGAAAAGTACTTTCTTTCAGTTTCTCAATATAGCACTTTGCAGAATAATCCATTGATTCAGGCCATTGAGTTTGTGTTCTATGTTTTTGTCTTTTATTACCAATATTTTAGAGCATGCATTATTCATTTTTATAGGCATTAGGGAAGAGCTAAACTGCAGCTGGATACCTCAGCACACAAGTAGCCCCATAATCATTTCATTGAAATCTTCATTTTTGAGCGGGGTAAGAAAGGGGACACAAATAATTTGGATATTTTAGGTATGGGAATCTCATTTAAAGCATGTGTGCCTTACTACTCCACTGTAAAAAAAAAAAAAATCTAATGAGAATATACCCTTTAAAATATATGTCCACGTGTAGCAGTGTTTCTCAACGTCAACTGTACATTAGAATCACCTGGGGGCTTTTGAACACCCTGTTTTCCCACTGGCCAACTGTACCACAGATTAATTAAATCATTGGAGGGAGAAAGCTATGAATGAGCATTTACATTAAGGTAGATTTGATCATTAAAGGGGATTTATGTCAATGGAGTCGCCATCAGTTGACACAAGTGACACTTATCATGAGCCACTGTAAATTTCATGCATTGAGGGAGTAGGATGTTCATTGACCTGTATGACCCAGGTTTTCATCCTGGATCTGTTATTCAAGAGCTGTATGTTTGATAATTTAAAAAATAATAATAGTTTTTAAAAGGATACATCACCCTCTTTATTGGTGGGGTGATAATAAATTGAAGCAATTAGGGTAAAAATGCTTTGAGGGAGTAAAACTGGCATATGTAGTTGTGGAGTGTTCTTTTGTATGAATAAGATAAAGCCTGTCTGTGAAAAATGAGCAAATTGCCCTTTTCACAAGCAGACATTTTTTTGGCTATGTTTAAAAAAAATAAGTGAAGCCTTGAATTCCACACAAAGTTCTGAACTGAATTAGTAACCCCTTTAACTTCGACAAAAATAGGCTTTCAGCTGAAATTTCCATGGATTTTGGAAGTGTCTTCCTCCCAACAAGTTTATTTGGTACCTTAGTTTCCCACGTGAAACACAAGAGTAGTAGCCTAAAAATCAGCAGGGCCCATGATTTTCACATATTTAATGGCTGTGAGAATTAAGTCCTCCCCAACAATTACTAGTTTCCCAGATCTCTTCGCTGATGACTGAGCCCTTTTAGATAACGTCAAAATATTTGTTCCTAGCATTGGTATTACTTTAGACACTATTAAAATCGACATTATAAACCAAGATCAGGTGATTGTGCCACGCTTTCAGATTACCAGAATGGAAGAAACTAATTTGAAAAATGAAGTCACTCTAGAGTAAAAGCACTATTTTGAAACTTTATCCAGCAGCATAATAAACTAAGCGCACACAATAGAGCTTAGAATCTCAGGCTTGCAGATGAAAAACCATCCCTTAAAATAGCAGAGACTGTGCATAGGGAGAACCCAGGCCCATTAAACAAAGCTGCAGC